ACTGAAGAGTGGATAGAGAAAATGTGGTACATTTACACAATGGAGTATTACTCAGCAGAAAAAAACAATGGAATCTTGAAATTCGCAGGTAAATGGATGGCACTGGAAGAAACCATCCTGAGTGAGGTAACCCAGTCACATGGTATGTACTCACTCATATATGGATTTTTTAGACATGGATCAGGATAGTGCCAGTCTGCACTTCCACTGACAGAGAGTCTGGGAAACAGGAGAGAACCTAAGAGATATGCATGGTACCCAAGAGAAGAGGAATGAGGCAAGATCCTGTGAACAGATGGGGAACATGGCAAGGGGTGGGGGGAGTGGGAACTGGGATTGACATGTAAAACAAGCTATTTAAAATGAAAATAATAATAAAAAGAAGATGCAAAGATCTCCCAAGCTCATGGATCAGTAGAATGAACATAGTAAAATGGCCATCTTACCAAAACATCTACAGATTCAGTGCAATTCATATCAAAATTTCAGCACAATTCTTTTTGTTTGTCTGTTTTTGTTTTTTGTTTTTTCGAAACAGGATTTCTCTGTGTAGCTTTGGATCCTGTCCTGGAACACACTCTGTAGATCAGGCTTGGCCTTGAATTTACAGAGATCCTCCTGCCTCTGCCTCCCAAGTACTGGGATTAAAGGTACGCGCCACCACCACTCAGCTTCAGCACAATTCTTTACAGACCTTGAAAGGATAATACTCAACTTCATATAGAAAAAAAACTGATGTAGGGATAATTTTTTTTGTATACTGTGTAAAGATGTGTTTGTGTTTTACCTCACCTTCCTAAGGCACCTTCTGATTGGTTTAATAAAGATCTGAATGGCCAATAGCTAGGCTGGGGAAGATAGGCAGATATAAGAACTCTGGGAAATAATCTGAGGTGGGAGATTCATCAGCCAGACTAGGAGGAAATATAGCACTGAGGGGGGTTAACGGTGTCAGAGCATAGATTAACTGTGCACAGTTCCTCTTCTGTAATCTGGCAAGATTGTCAGTGGTACAGCTGGGACACCACCCCAGCCACAAAACCTTCAGCCATTCCTGCAAAGATGCACTGAGGCAATGGGGGTGCAGAGCTTGTGAGAGTGGCCAACCAATAACGGGTCTACTTTGAGGTCCACACCAGGAGCTGGAGGCTGGATAGACCCAAGGCCTAGGGTAGAACCAAATATAACTGCCCCCTCAAAAAATCAATGAAATGATTCCTAATGATATTCTGCTATACTCATAAACCTGTGCCTAGTCCAGTTGTCATCAGAGAGGCTTCCTCCAGCAGGTCAGAGTAGCAGATGCAGAGACCCATAGCCAATCATTAGGCAGAGAGAAAACCCAGATTGGCCATCTCCATCAGGTCCCCTCCCCTTGGAGCTCAGGGAACCCTGCAGGAAAGAGGAAGGAGGAATTATGGGAACCAGAAGGGTTAAAGGCACCCAGAGAACCCAGCCTGCAGAATCAACTGAGCCGTGCTCACGGGGCTCACAGAGCCTGCATGGGGCTGCACTAGGTCCTCTGCATAAACGCCATGGTGTTGTCTTGGAGTTTTTGTGAGACTTCTGACAGTGGGATTGGGGATGTTTCTGACCGTTTTGTCTGCTCCTGGGACCCTTTTCCTCTACTGGGTTCCTTTACCCAGCCTTGACAAGAGGGTTCATGCCTGGTTTTTGTTTTGTTTTGTTTTGTTTTTTGTTTTTTCGAGACAGGGTTTCTCCGTATTGTTTTGGAGGCTTTCCTGTAACTCGCTCTGTAGACCAGGCTGGCCTCGAACTCACAGAGATCCGCCTGCCTCTGCCTCCCAAGTGCTGGGATTAAAGGCGTGCGCCACCGACACCGGGCTCGTGCCTGGTTTTGTTGTATCTTGTTATGCCATTTTTGTTGATGTCTCTGGGAAGTCTGCTCTTTTCTGGGGGAAATGGGGGAGGAGAAATGGGGGGAATGGGAGGGGTGGATAGAGGGGAAACTTTGGCCATGACGTATTTTATGAGAGAAGAATAAACTTAAAAAATTATCAATACTTCTTTTTTGGGGGAATGGGGCTTGGTTTTTTTTGTTTGTTTGCTTGCTTTGTTTTATTTTTGAGATAGGGTTTCTCTGTAGTCCTGGCTCTCCTGGAATTTGCTCTATAGACCAGGCTGGCCTCAAACTCAGAGATCCGCCTGCCTCTGCCTTCTGAGTGCTGGGATTAAAGACGTGTGCCACCACTGCCCATTTTTGTTTGTTTGTTTGTTTGTTTTCACTTTCTTTGGGGAGTGGGGACAAGAGTGGGTTTCTCAACATGCACACAACCCTGTTCTTACCCCCAGCACTGCTGAAGAGCAGGTGTGACGGCCTGTGCCTGTAACCACAGAACTTGACCACACAGCAAATTCTAGGTCAGCCTGGGCTACTTGAGACCAACTAAATGACTCAGTGGGTAAAGGCACTTGTGACCAAGCGTGGTGGTCTAAGTTCAATCCTTGTATCCCACATGAAGAGAGGAGAGAACTAACTCCCATGTGTCGGGACACATGCTCCACGGACTCATGCCACAGTCACTCGATGCATACAGAACTTTCACAAGCCAGCTATGTTGAGGAAGCAGGCTTACCTATGGCACAGAAAACTTCACTACCACCACCCATATCAAAAGTGAGACGCACCTCCAGATTTAAAAAGTCGGAATCTCAAATCCATGATGTTAGCATTGACCCTGACTCTACAGTCATCAGATAGTAGTGATGATTTAATAACAGACAAGTTTTGTGAATATGAGGTGGATTGGCATGTCTTTAATCCCAGCACTTGGGAAGCAGAGGCAGGTGGATCTCTGTGAGTTCCAGCACAGCCTGATCTACAAAGTTACACAGAGAAACCCTGTCACAAACTAACAAACAAAAAGAGGTAGACTTGTCTTTCAAAACCATTGTTGAAGAATAGAATACTTGTTTAACTATGTAAAGATGTGTTGCTATTTCTCCTTGCCTGCCTAGGGGACCTGATTGGTCTAGCTGAATGGCCAATAGCTAGGCAGAGGAGGGATAGGCATGGCTGGCAGGCAGAGCAGAGGGGTGGGGATTGGTGGGGTAGCCAGCCAGGGGCCAGACAGAGGAAGCAGGACAGCAGGATGGACAGTACACAGATTAATAAAAATGGGCTAATTTAAGTTTGTTTTTTTTTTTTAATAATTAGGAACAAGCCTAAGCTAAAACTGAGTGTTCATAACTAATAGTAAGTCTCCATGTCATGATTTGGGGGCTGGCAGTACAAGAAAGCATGCTACAGTCAGCAGAACTGAAAACAAGTTTTCTGGAAAATTTGGTCAACTGGAACGCTCAGTGACAACTGAGAATTGGATTTGATTCTTCGTTTATTTAATCACTTCTCTATTCAGCACTGGGCCTTGTCCATGCCAGGGGAGCGCTCTCCCACAGCCGTGGCTGCGGGTCGAGCTCTGGCCAATTCTGATGCCCTCCCACCTCCTGCCATGTGGCTGGCCCTGGTGCTGGCACAGGCCCCTGGGAGCCTCCTCAGAAACAGCCCTTCCCGCCCTTTACCGCCTTCCCTGGAACCATGGCCCTGGAAAAGAGAGCGAGCTGGTGTCCTGGCTCCTGCAAAACAGGAAGTGGCTGTCCCCACCGGGCTGTAAATGAAGCTGGAGTGTGCGCGTCCGCGGGCTGCGGGAGAGTCCCGGGGAGGCCGACCCACCCGCTCCCCCGGGCACCCCCGCGAGCGAGGCAGAGAGCGAGCGAGCCAGGCAGGCAGCTCTCCGGGTTCGGAGGGGCAAGGGTCCCCTCGCCCGGCCTCCAGACTCCTGCTAAGCTCTCCAGGGGCTGACGGGACGACGAGGACCTGGAAGCCCGGGCTCGGAAGCCTGGCAGCCTCCCCGTCCTTCCGGCCTCCGCAGAGCCCTCGCGGCCCTCCCAGCCGTTTCGGGCCTGAGCTCCGTTGCTCCTCAGCCTCGCTCGCGCCCCCTCCCCCGAGAACGGCTCTGCCGTGGAGCTGGCTCACCACCGAGCGCCCCGGCCCCTCTCCTGTCTGCAGCCTAGTACCCCGTGTGGCACGTGCGCTCGAGTGCGGCGGGTGGAAGACGCCCTCTCCACGTTCACACCGAGTGGATTTCCAACCACTGAGATTCACTTAAGGGCTTCTTTTCAGTAGCGAATTCAGCGTCCACGCCACAAAGGCCGGCTAGGGACTTCAAGGACAGTTGAGAGAACTGAAAAACGGCAGACGAGACCCCCAGTGTGTAAGGGGACTTGCCACCGAGCCCAGACCCCACATGGAAAGGGAGGTGTCCAAGAGTCTCAATCTGACCGTCAGATCATCGGAACAATGGACCCAAAGGAGTGGGAATCCCATGCTGGGAGAAGGAAAAGGGTGCCAGCCAGAGGGTAACTTGCCTCCCGGGGGAGTGCACGTGATTCTCAGAGCTTGTCAGACCACCTGACAGTGGAGCCTGAAGCCCAGGCGAGACGGGGCGGCACCATGTCTCAGACGGCTTAGATACCATGTTAGCCTCTGTTTACCCTTCAGTCTCCCTTCAGGGGCCTGACAGGGGCTAGAGGGGCCACGGCTGTCTGTCCTCTCCCCATGGGGCCACCGTGAATAAATCCTTTTCTGCTAGATTCTTTTAACTAGCTTACTGAGGACGAACCTGGCTGGGAACACAAAATGTGACAGGAAAGAGCCAAACCCCAAAAGCTATCCTCTAACACACACACACACACACACACACACACACACACACACACACACACACACACACACACACACAGTTTATTTACACATACATACAAAAAAAGAGAAAATAGTCTGGTCTCAGAAGGCAGAGAGCTGGGGTTCGCATAGGAAGCTGGGCGACGGGAACGGGGGACTTGGCGAGTGTCGGGACCTCCTGGGCGCATCACAGGAAAGCGTGGAGATGCTGCTCGGTCTCTCGGAAGCCGCCTCCCGTCGGGTTCCTCCACGGAGGCAGGAAGTGCCACCTGAGGCTCGCTTCCTCTGCTCTCCTCACCCCGGGGACTGCGGCGCCTCCTCAGCTGCACTTTCACTTCCGCTGGTGTCCGACCCCCGCCCCGAGCTCTCGGGAGCCTCGAGTGCTGGAGGCGGGGAGAGACCCAGAGAAAGAGACACACACGGGACAGAGGCAGAGAGGGACAAACACCCAGGGCAAGAAGGAGAAAAAGGGCCAAGAGAGGAGGTGGGGGAGGCAGAGACAGTGGGCTCCGGGGGGCGGAGCCAGCGAAGAGTGAGGTCAGAGTGTCTGTGAGGTTGGCCTCTGCACAGACAGCCCTGAGGTCCCAGGACGGAGATGCCCTTCAGGAACCCCCGTGCGTCCTCCCTGAGCCATGGACACCCGCGAGGAGCCCCCCATTGTGTCCTTGGTGCCCACATGTTCCAAGGACCCTCAGGTACTGCTGTGCGCCCTGGGGAACCCGCCAAGACCGGGGCCCAGCTGGCAGTCCCTAAATGAAAAGGGCTGGGTGGGGCTCCGCCCCGGGACTTCCTCTTTCTCTGCCCCCTTCCTCTGTCTCCTCAGCCTCTCTCCTCCTCTGACCATTGCACCCCTCATCCCCTGTGGGCCAATACCTCTTCTGTCCGGATTGCTCGAGTGAGTGGGTCGCTCCCCGTCTAGGTGAAGATGTCAGCCCAGGAGAGCTGCCTCAGTCTCATCAAGTACTTCCTCTTCGTTTTCAACCTCTTCTTTTTTGTGAGTTTATTCATGGCTACCCAGCCGGGGTCCCAGGGCCACTGTGCCCGGTGCCCACAGCCTCATTCTCTTTTCTTCCCCTAGGTATTAGGCGGCCTGATTTTCTGCTTCGGCACCTGGATTCTCATTGACAAGACCAGCTTCGTGTCCTTCGTGGGTGAGGGGGCAGGGCAGTAGGGGAGGGTCTTCCTGGGGCGGACCTGACCCAGAACCATCTCTTGGGATCTCCTTTGCCACGGAGGCCCCCAATAGTTACCAACTTCCCAGACAGGGCCCAAGTCTAGTGCCCCACCTGCCCCTGCCACGGCGCCTCGGCCCTGTGTCTCCCCTGGCAAACAGGACGTTAAACATGTGGTGGTGCGCGCCTGCCATCCCAGTCGTCAGGAGGCAGAGCTGGAGCGCCAAGGCTATCCAGACTCCACAGTGGGTTGGAGGCCAGGCCCGGCATGTGAGATCCTGACTCAAAGCAACCACGACTAAGTGAGGTCATGGTTACAAACAATAACAGAAACGAGAGACATCTCTGAAATACTTCCTGTGCCACATCTTGGCCTGGGGTTCACAGACCCTCCCTTCTTGAGGTTCACTGAAGGGAAGTCTCTCGCTGGGTGCCCAGCAGGGAAGAGGAAGAGCAGAGACAACCATGGCAGCAGGAAAACAGTGGGCATCAAAGCCACGCAACTCAGCCAGGCAGTGGTAGGGCACGCTGTTAACCCCAGCACTCACTCGGGAGGGCTGTGCAGAGAAACCCTGTCTCAACAACGGAAGTCCAGAGCAAGGACTGGGGACCAAAACCAGGAGGAGAATCCCAGAGGGAGAAACACCAGCTGAGGTGTGCCAGAGACAGAGGCCAGGCAGGGGCACAGGGACTCGAGAGAGAGGGCTCTGCCTGGGTGAGCAGGTGGAGCTGCTATTTCCCAGCCCTCCCTCACTGACTTTACCACCCCAGGCTTGTCCTTCGTGCCGCTGCAGACCTGGTCCAAGGTCCTGGCTGTCTCGGGGGTCCTCACCATGGCCCTGGCCCTCCTGGGTTGTGTGGGGGCTCTGAAGGAGCTACGTTGTCTTCTGGGCCTGGTGAGTGACATCCCTCAACACGGGGCCTGTCCTGACCCTCACAGGGCTCCTCTCACTTTTCTGTCCTCTCCACGCAGTATTTTGGAATGCTGCTGCTCCTGTTTGCCACACAGATTACCCTGGGGATCCTCATCTCTACTCAGCGGATCCGGGTGAGTGTGCCAACACTGTTGCCCCAGCTGTGGAGAGAGAAACAGAGCAGCACCCATACACAGACATCAGACAGACACAGGGACAGAGGCACACGCAGACAGACAGAAAGGGAAGGTTGGTGTGGTATTGCATGTGGCCCTAGCTACTCATAGGCTAAAATTAGCCCGAGAGCAAAGCCAGCCTGGGCAACACAACGAGTCCACGTCTGTTAAAAAACAAGTGCCATGTCTGGCACATACCTTTAGCCCTGGTACTCTGGAGGAGGAGGCAAGCAGCTTGGTCTATACAACAAATTCTAGGATACCATGGTTACATAGAGCCTCTGGAGAGGGAGGGGAAGGTGGAGACAGAGGCAAACCAAACTGACTTCTACACAGTAGCATTTATCCAGCTGGTTGAGTGCCTGCCTGGTATTCAACCCTTAGTACCTGCAAGTCCAGCACTCAAACCAGAGTCAGGAGGATCAGGAGTTCCAGGCCAGTGCGGGCTACAGGAAGTCATTTTATTGAATAATTTTATTCAAAAATGATTTTAAGGCCCAGTGGTGGTGGTGGCACACGTCTTTTTTTTTTTTTTAAGATTTACTTATTATGTATACAGTATTCTGGCCTGCAGGCTAGAAGAGGGCACCAGATCTCATTACAGATGGTTGTGAGCCACCATGTGGTTGCTGGGAATTGAACTCAGGACCTCAGGAAGAACAGCCAGTGCTCTTAACCTCTGAGCCATCTCTCCAGCCCGGCAAGTGTCTTTAATCCCAGCACTCAGGAGGCAGAGGCAGGCGGATCTCTTTGAGTTTGAGACCAGCCTGGTCTACAAAGTAAGTTCCAGGACAGCCAGAGCAACACAGAGAAACTCTGTCTCTAAAAGCCTAAAGACCCAGGCTGGAGAGATGGCTCAGAGGTTAAGAGCACTGACTGCCCTTCCAAAGGTCCTGAGTTCAATTCCCATTAACCACATGGTGGCTCACAACCATCTATAATGAGATCTGGTGCCCTCTTCTGGCCGGCAGACACACTCTATGCATAGTAAACAAATCTTTGGCCACTGCCTGTCATTCAGGAACTTAAGTTAAGGGTGGCAAAGCTGGGCTGGGCCGGTTGGGACGACTCATTCCATCTTCCATCCTCACCTCCACCCCTTCAGCTGGAGCGAAGGGTACAAGAGTTGGTGTTGCAGACGATCCACAGCTACCGCGCGAACCCGGATGAGACCGCGGCTGAAGAGAGCTGGGACTATGCGCAGTTCCAGGTGTGTGAGCTTATTACACCTCTTGTTTCGGACAGTTAACGCTCCATTTCAAGGAGGCGCTGCCTCAGTGTGGGCCGCAGGTCACCTGTTCCCTCATCCTCGCTCCAGTCAGGCTGCGTGAGCACCCCCCCCCGGGTGACAGCATCACTGTCCCCATGTACCAAATCCCTAGACCCTGACGTTACTCCACCCCAGTCCCAAACTTTCGAGGGCCTCCCGCCCCTAGAATCACATTACGCAGCATCTCAGGCTCACCTGATGCTCCATCAGCCCATTGTCACTTACATACCCATCATCCCTGCCGGGACCCCAGGCCAGGCTGCACACCTACACCCGTGACACGGGCCCCTGACTGTCCCCCTCCCCCACCAGCTGCGCTGCTGCGGCTGGTACTCTCCGCGGGACTGGATCAGCGCCCGCACGCTGAGAGGCAACGAGTCTGAGGAGCCCTTGGTGCCCTGCTCCTGCTACAACTCCACGGCGGCCAATGACTCCTTAGGCTTCGATAAGCTCTTCTTCTCGCAGCTTAGCCGGCTGGGGCCGCGGGCGAAACTGAGACAGACCGCTGACCTCTGCGCACTCCCGGCCAAAGCCCACATCTACCGCGAGGTGGGACAGGCGGCCGCCCGCAGCGCCTGACGGGGCGGGGCCTGCGTTGGGGCGGGGCACTGGGGAGGTGGGAGGGACTTTGAGGGGCGGAGTCTTAGGAGGGCGGGGCGCGCTCGGAGGGTGCGGCCATAGGAGAGGCGAGGAGGAAGCTAGGGAAAAAGACCGAAGGGGCGGGACCCCCGGAGGTAGTGTGGACCACCACACAGGCGTCCAGAGTCCAGAGCGGAAGGGGAGGTGGGGCCTAGGAGGGTGGGGCCCTCTGACGTGCGCGGGGCGCAGCATCAGGGGCCGGGAGGGGCAGTAAAGACTGAAAGGGCTGTCCCTTACAAGCGGGCGTGACCTACCCACAGGCGCGCTGTCCGGAGCTGCGTGAGCTGGACGGGGCGGGCTACTAAAGTAGTGACAAAAGGGGTGGAGCCCTCGGGGTGAGAGGCGTAACCTAAAACAAGGGCAGAGCCCTGGAACACGGGCACTGAGCACAGCTTGGATAAGGCCTGCCTGTTTGGACCTAGGCATTGGGTACCTGAAAGAGGACCCGAGGGCCTCCCGGGCTTGAGGGTGACTTCCAGAAGCCACACCGCCTTTACGCATTTCCTGCATCCCCAGGGCTGCGCGCAGAGCCTCCGGAAGTGGCTGCACAATAATCTCATCTCTATAGTGGGAATCTGTCTGGGAGTCGGTCTTCTTGAGGTGACTTGGCCCCGTCCCAATCAGTGATTGATCTATTTATAGGTTTTCCCGTTGCCGAGGAAACGCGCTTGCTTAGCGGCTGCATTATCTGTCACAGCACTAACATGAGGTGGGGCGGGAGACCTGGCTTCTGCAAACTCTTGGCCATACGGGTGCGCTGCCCCCTCCCCTCTCCTGCAGGTGAGCGGGATGGCACTGTGTCTGCAGCTACATCGTAGAGCGCTCAGCCGAGAGCCGGTGCTGCCGCTGCCAGGAGCCGAGGGTTCGAGCCCTACACCCAGGCTGAGCGCTGAGGGCAGCGGTGGGCGCTGGGGCGGGCTTAGCAGCAGCGGCGGACGCAGCAACACCCCGTGGGGCAGCTGGGGCATGGCAGATGCCTGCCCCACATGGGGGGAGAAGGCACAAGGCAGGCTACCCATGGCTCTGGGGCCCTGGCCATTGTGGGATGCAGACGAGGAGCTGCCTGAGACCGATAGCGCAGGTGCAGAGGTGGAGGTCGGGACACAAGCGGAGACTACCGAGCCTCCAGAATAAAGGACCCTGGGCTTGCCTCTGAGCTTTCTCCTTTCCAGACTCCCACTCGGCGCTGCCAATCACTGCAAGCTCCTATGCACGCCCACTCTTTGCCTCCCCTTCGGGTACCACCCTGAAGCATCTCCTTTCTCCGCAGCTCGGCTTCATGACGCTCTCAATATTCCTGTGTAGAAATCTGGACCACGTCTACGACAGGCTGACCCGGTACCGCTAGACCCCAGCTTGCCCCATCAGCACCCACGCAACTCCAGGCAGCCAGGAAGTGTTTGTTTCCTTCCTGGCTGGTCTAGGCTCGGAGCCTGGCGCCGCAGGACTCACTCATCTCTGGGGACCCTTACCGACAGCTATCACTTCCCCCGCAGACCCTTCTGTCCTGAGATTCCTCCCCCCTTCCCTTCTCCCCACACCATCTGTCCACCTCCCCCACGACACCTCAAATAAATCCCCTTCGTTTTGGTAAAAATAGCTTTATTCTCCTTCGGAACATAAACCATCACTCTCGGGGAAAGGAAGGTGGCAGGGTGGTCTGTGGCTCACTTAAAATGGGGACGAGATTAGGAAGTCCCACCCCGCTGCTTGCCTAGCTGAGATAACATTACATCCTTAACACTGTGTATAAATATCTCCTTATATTAAAAAAAATCCAGGTCCCACTCTGCCCCCAAGCTGGGACATCCCCGATCAGAGAAAGGGTATGTGGGAGAGGCGGACATGGGGGAGGGCAGGAAGGGTACATGGCAATGAGTAATTCCCCCACAGCCCCCTTCTCCAGAAGAGCAACCGAGAGGCCAGTGCTGAACCTGTGGGTGTGCACTCCTGTCCCCAACCCCTGTCAAACGTCCCCTGTGAGGTCTAACCTCTAAATCAGCTCCTTCAGCTCAACACCCAAGTTTTGGGGTTCCCCTGTAATAGGAGCCGGCCCCCCCAAATGAGGGGCACAGGGAGAGCCGAAGGGCCCTTCCTGGGACGGGGGTGTTCTGAGGAAAACCGGTGATGAGGTCCATCAGTCCCTGACCAGGCGGTAGATGTGGTGCTGGGCTCCGCGCTCACTGGTGGAGACCTCGAAGACGTAGGCCGTGCACAGCAGCAGTTCCTGAGTGTCCCTGTTTGTCACCACCTGCCAGGAGAAAGGCTTACGCTGTGGCGGGGGTGGTGTAGGGTGTTTGTGTGGTGGGGCTGCCCTGCCCACCCCTGGTTTTCAAGGACACCTCTGGTCTCTTTCCACCTCCCGAGAAAGGGGAACCTGCCATGCTATGTACCCCAAGTAGGAAGGATGTCCTGTAGGTCAGGTTCCTTGGGCAAAGGGGTCAGCCCTAAGCTGAGAGTTGGCAGGGAGGGTTGGCAAAAGGTTCAGCAGGTCATATTAGTACAACCCCCGAATCAAAGGAGCGTCCTTCAGCTCTCAGGTGAGCCAGATGCCTGGAAGCTGCCAGTGTGGAGACGGGCTTTCCACAAGGGGCAGGAGAGTCCCACGTCACTGTAGCAGAGTGCCCCACCCCATCACGTCCTGGAGGAAGGGAGTTCATCCTTGGCATCCACACTGCCTGGCTAGCAGAATGGGCCAACGGCTGCTGTGGCCCCCCAGAGGCTGAGGGTCTGCTTAAGGTCCGGCCTGCGGGCCCCGGTGTGTCACCTGGAGGATGGTGAAGTTCTCCAGGACACTGTTCATCATGTAGCGTTCAGGCAGCTGGCGCAGCTTGTGCAGGAAGTTAACCAGGTACTCGCACATGGGAGAGCGCAGCAGGCGGTACACAAAGCGCCCGTCCTCCAGCTGGGCCCGCTCCGTCTGCGAGAGGGAAACACGGAGGCTGAGAGAAACGGCGGCCGCCCTTGGAGCCAGCCAGAGGCCCCAAGCACCCCCTGCACCTTTGGACCAGAGCCCCTGGGTGTCCGACTCGGGGCCTCTGAACCTGCATATGGGAAACTCCCCTCCCCCAGAGTCATGGTGGGAAGCCTCAGTGACTTCCAAACACCCGACTGAGCTTGAGTCCTCAAGTCCCCACAGTCCCTCAAGTATGACGCCCGTCTCTGACCACACCACCAAGAACCTTTTTCATCTTGTAGATTCAGTCTCTATACCTTTCAACCCTTGAAATGAGCCCCAGCTATGACTTTTAGTTGCTTATTCCTGTGTTGTTTGAGACAGGGTCTCATGTAGCCCAGGCTAGCCTAGAACTACTTGAAACTCCTGATGACTGGGCTACATGGTACAGGGCGAGCATTCCACCCACTAAATACCCTCAGTCTTCTTTGCAGTTAATTCCTAGCACACGCACCAAACTGCCGGAGAGGCTGGGACGGCCCCACCTCACGCACGCCGCACGCCATGCCCACTCCCGCTGCACACCGTGCCCCGGCCCTGGGCCTCACCTCCACCTTCTCCACCACTTGCTTGCCAAAGGAGCAGACCTTGGAGGAGCAGGTGAGTGTCATGAGCTCCTGGCTCTCATATTGGCTGCTCACTCCATAGAAGCCTCCGCTGCCTCCACTGGTCCCTGCCTCTTCGCCACTTGGGCCCCAGTTCAGGTCAGCCTGAGAGACAAGATGGAGAGGCACGGTGAGTTGGGGAAACCTAGCAAACTCTGACCTAGAGCCTGGCTCCCTGAGCTGCACCCACTTGCTCACCCCCACCCCATCTGTTCCCCAGGCCAGCATGAGCTGTGTGTGTTCTGTAGAAGACTCATCCACAGGTCCAGGAGGACTAGAGCAGCAGGGTCCCCAGAACAGTCCTGACTTCCACTCTCTGTGAACCAAGGGCCAGAGAACCCAACTCCAGAGCTCGGCATAATAATGCAAGTTTAATGCTAGCACTTGGGAGGCTGATGCAGGAGAACTGTGAGTTTGAGACCAGCCTGGTCTACATACAAAAAGAACATGCATTAAATTTAAAACAAAGAAAGACCATGCCTTCAAAGGGAACAACAGCAAAAGAAAAGTGGTTGGCGTTCAAACTAAGAAAATGGAGAGGGAAAAAGGACTTTAGCCTCTGACAGGGGCCTAGTTACTAGCAGGCAAGTTACCCCCAGCAACTGGTTAGGGTGCCACAACCTCCCACACCTCCCCATGCCCCCCCACTGGCTGTGAAAGCAAGTGGTTTGACTCCCCACCACCAGCAGAGCCAGGCTCCCCTAGAATATTCTCTATGTTTCCCTTTGCACCCTCCCTTAGGAATGCACCTATGCCCACCCTCCAATGTCAGCCAGGCAGGATAGGCCTCGAAGCCAGCACGCGGCCCTGAGAAACAGATGCTGCCTGCTCTGTCCTGACTCCACCCACCACCCCAACAATAGGGCATTCTGAGGCAGGACAAACCCCTGTGCCCGTGGCAAGAGGATTGTTGGCTGGTTGGAGGTCAACCTAAGCTATAATGTGAGGGACAGTCTGTCCAGCCACGTGTGGTGACACACACCTGTAGTCCCAGCACTCAGAGCTGGGGGCAGGCTGCTCTACAGAGCAATTTTCTGAACAGCCAAGGAGGGAGGCCTTAGCAGTTGCCCAGCTACCCCATCAGGAGCCGGCTTCAGACAGGGAGCCTCTGAAGCCCTAATAATGGCCAGGCTGTGGCAGCCCACCCAGAAAGCTTAGGGGTTTTGTTGTTGCTTTTTCTTTTTTCAAGATTTTTTTTTACTTTTTTTATGTGCATGTATGTCTGAGCACCACATATATGCAGTACCAATACCCTCAGAGGCCAGAAGAGTTCCTCTGGAACTAGAGTTACAGACACATGAGGATGCTGGGAATTGAACCTGGGTCCTCTGGGTAGAGCAGCCAGTGCTCTTAACTCCACCGTGATACAAGGTTCACAAGCTTTTTAGACAGACACCAAACAGACTGAACTCCTCTGTGGACGTCCTTTCAGGACAAGACACCCTGAGCTTGTCGGTGCCAGTCATGCAACTGGACACCAAACCAGATGGGCCTAAGAAAGGTTACCAGCTCTTAGCCACAGCTGGTAACCGACAGCCCTCCATGTTCCCGAGATCTGCAAACACTCAACTCCATCATAGAGCTGCCCTTCGGAAGCGCTGGCATTCAACCTCCACCCTCCCCCACATAGTGTTTTGTTGTAAATATTATTTTAAGATGAGTTACATTTGTTTGTGCAAATATATGTTCCATTTGTTTACCTCTGTGAAGTGTGTAACTTTGCCTGCGTAAAACACCGGATTGGTCTAATAAAGTGCGGAATGGCCAATAGCAAGGCGGGAGAAAAGATAGGCAGGGCCAGCAGGCAGAGAGAATAAATAGGAGAGATCTGGGAGGAGAGGACAGGATGCCAGGGGTCAGCCGCCCAGCCGCCCACGGAGTAAGAGTAAGTAAAGCAGGCGGCAGCGCACGCCTTTAATCCCAGCACTCAGGAGGCAGGGACGGGCGGATCTCTGTGAGTTCCAGGACAGCCAGGGCTGTTACACAAAGAACAAAGAAACCGAGTCTCAAAAAAAGTAAAACAGAAACAGAGTGAAAGTAAGATGTACAGAAGTAGGAAAAGGAAAAAGCCCAGAGCAAAAGGTAGATGGGATAATTTAAGTTAAGGAAAGCTAGTTAGAATTAAACCAAGCGAAGGCAGGGTATTTGTAAGTAAGGATAAGACTCTGTGTGTGATTTACTTGGGATGTGGGTGATGGGCCCCAAAAGGGCAAAGAATAAAGAGTAAAAACCCAATCATAGTGTTTGTTCTGTTTTGTCTCTGAAGTATGACCCAGGAAGACCCAAGCCCCGCCTTGCGCCTGGCTGACAGTGCCATGACTTGGGAACGCTCACCCAGAACTTGACCAGGAAGAAGGCGTGGGGTGGCCCTCGGTCATACAGCTCCCGGAGGCCGCCCTTTTTCTCAGGGAACTTGTCGTAGATCTGCCGCACATCCACACTCTCCAGGGGCGGTGCCCCGGGACTGGGACACTGCTGACTGATGTGGACAAACAGGTGTCTCTGGAACTGCAGAGGGACGACCTGGTGAGGGACGCGGGCCACACCCACTGGCCGGCAGCTGGCCACTTCCAGCCCTGCGGCCCCGGCCATCCCTGCTTCTTCTCTGCCCCCACTGCCCCAATGTGCTCACATCCCATCCTCCCTCATCCTCCCCCATCCTCCCCATCCTCCCCCATCCTCTCCCATCTTCCCCCATCCTCTCCCATCCTCCCCCATCTTCCCCCATCCTGTCCCATCCTCTCCTCCCATCCTGTCCCATCCTCCCCCATCCTCTCCCACCCTCCCTCCCCCACCCTCTCCTATCCTCCCCCATCCTCTCCCACCCTCTCCCATCCTCCCCCACCCTCTCCCATCCTCCCCCATTCTCCCCCATTCTCCCCCATCCTCTCCTCCCATCCTCCCCCATCCTCTCCCATCCTCTGGTCTAGCGCCGCCAACATCCTTCATCCCTCGCACAACTCTAGAGCTAGCTCAGTCCCCGAATCCAGTGCCTGCCCTCCTCCCAGCAACATCACCAACTCCCACCACACTCTGCCATTAATTCCCTCGAAAATTCCATTTCCGTTCCTGCAGTTTACAATGCTGCACCCAGTAAACTCCTACACAGCCCTCAAAGCCCAACTCATATATGTTCACATATGTCTTTCCAGGGAAGACTTCACTAGCTCCCCAAGGAGATCACCCTCTATATACATAAGAACTAGACATGCTGTAGAATTTTAGTTAAAGATGTGTTACTTTTGTTGGAATATTTGTTTAATGATGCAAACATGTGTTGCAATTTCTTTTTCTTCCTTCCTTCCTTTCTTTCTTTCTTCCTTTTGAGACAGGGTTTCTCTGTGTAATAACTAGTCCTGGCTGTCTTGGAAATAACTTTGTAGACCAGGCTGACCGCGAAGTCACTGAGATCTGCCTGCCCCTCCCCCCCCCCTGAGTGCTGGGATTAAAAGCGTGTGCCACCACCGCCTGGCTGTGTTGCATTCTTTTATGCTGCATTTGTTCAATTCTGCGAAGCTGTCTTACTTTCCCTGTCTAAAACACCCAATTGGTCTGGCAAAGAGCTGAATGGCCAACAGCAAGGCAGGAGAAGGGATAGGCAGGGCTGCCAGGCAGAGAATAAACAGGAGGAAATCTGGTAGAAAGTATCAAGGAAGAAAAGGAAGAAAGCAGACGTTGGGTCCAGCCACCGAGCTACACAGCAAGCCGCAGAGTAAGAAGTAAAGAAAAGCGTAAGAGGAAAGAAAGGCGAAAGCCCAGAGGATAGACTGGGTGATTTAAAACAAGTCGACCTAAGGCCGGGCATTTATAAGAAAAATAAGTCTTCATGTATGTATCTGGGAGCTGGGTGCAGGCCCCCAAAGATTAAGAGCCTAAGAGTAAAAAAATAGTCTTGGTCCTGGGGCTAAATGGCGACTAAGTCCCTGGATTTTCAGAGTTCAGTTTACCACAGAGAAGTGGAGCATAAATCAACGTACAGACAATAGAAATGTCAGGAATAATTTATGCCATGAAAAATATCCTGGTAAGCATAGAGAAAGGACAGTGCATGAACCAGGAATGATGGGATAAGCCATGAGGGGACTGAATGCTTGCTCTCTTCTGGCCTCTTTGGGCACCTTGTAACACACACACATACACACACACTCATACACACACACATACACACACACTCACACACACACACATACACACACACTCATACACACACACATACACACACACTCATACACACACACATACACATACACACTCATACACACACATACACATACTCATACACACACACTCATACACATACACACACTCATACACACATACACACACATATACATACACACACTCATACACACACACACATCTAATAAAAAGCACTTTTTAGCAGAAGGCTTAGTTAAGTCTCGTGAGAAAATTAAGCTGGAGTCACTCACAGCAAGCCCAGATAGGGCCTGTACAGACTGTGGGGAAGCCAGGCAGAAGGGGGGGGCTGGGCTGGTAAGCACACAGGCAAAGGCGCAGCAGGAACAGGGCTCCGATGGCGCAGGAGCCGGGGAGCAGCGGAAAGGGCTTCAGCTTGGGCCGACTGGGATGCGAGCTGCTTCAGTTCTGTGGGCCCTTTGCTTTGAGTGTTTGTTGGGAGTGGGGTTTGGGGAAGGTTTTTGTTTGGGGTTTTGTTTTTATTGTTGCTGTTCATTTGTCGTTTGTACCAGGGTCTCACTCTGTAGCTCTGTGGGCCTGGAACTCAGTCCCGCCTGCCTGCACCTCCCGAGTGCTGGGATTGGTTAAAGCTGCGTGCCACCAAACGCCTGGCTCCTCCTCCTGGTTTTTGAAACAGGAAAACTTTCTATAGCCCATGTTGCCTTTGAATTCACTATTACAGAGCAAATTGGTTTTTAGCTTTTGATTTTTTGAGACAGGGTCACTCTATGTACCCCCTGGCTGTCCTGGAACTCTCCCTATATAAACCAGGCTGGCCTCCAACTCTGAGAGCCTTCTACCTCTGACTCCCAAGTGTTGGGATTGAAGGCGTGCGCTGCCTTACCCACTGTTTTGCCTTGTCGAGGCAGTCTTGGGTGCTCTTTGCTTGGCCTCCGATGCCCTCTCCACTCCCACAAATGTGCACTACCACATATGCAGACCTGGGGACGGAACCCTGAGCTTCATACATGCTCACATACATGCTCACACTCTACCAGCTGGGGACGCAACCCAGAGCTTCATACATGCTCACATACATGCTCACACTCTACCAGCTGAGCTAAATCCCCAGCCTCACACTGGCTTCTCAACTAAGAGCAACACTACTCCAAGCTCCAGGGCTCTGGGATCACAGACTTGCCATGCGAGCCTCACCAGCATCACCCTTGTTAGTAACCTTGACAACCTGACGGGCGGCATTACTGTGGCTGCAGAGGCACTGCGTGCGGTGAACTACGTTTCTCTGCAGTCAGGTGTGAGCACATGACTAAGACCGGGCCAATGGGATGTGAAGAAGCCCATGAGTTATCTCATTCAAGCCTGGGCACAGGAAATCCTACACTCTCTCTTCCCCCATCTGCTGGCTGGATGCAGAGAACCCAGAAGATTCTGTAACTCTAGAAAATGGCAGAGCCACAAAACGGCCAGGGCCAAGGCCTGAATCACCGGGGCAACACATCTTTTCAGCATACCGGCTGAGAACTCACATGAAAAACTGGGGAACGAGGTGCATGCTTGTTGTCCCAGCCCTTAGGAAGCTGAGAGATAGAGCTCAGGCTAGAAAGTTCAAGGCTAGCCTGAGCTACAGAGTGAGACCCACCTAACAATAAACAAATCAGAGAAAAGTAAAACTACGGTGATGTGGGATGTCCTTGTGTATGCTGCAAATATGTGTTGCTTCTATTGGCTGATGGATAAAGCTGTCAGGCAGAATTTAGCTAGTTGGGAAATCTGAACAAAGAGACAGGGAAGACAGTGAGGAGATGCCGTGTGGCCACACCACGGAAGCAAGATGCAAGGGCACTGGTAAACTACAGCCACATGGCAATAACACAGGTTGGTAGAAATGGGTTGATTTATAAGAGAGAGCTATCCAATAATAAGCCTAAGCCATTGGCCACACAACTATTAAGTCTCTGAGTTGTTATCTTATAAGCGGCTTCAGGGACCCGGTGGGCAGAGAGAACCAGGTCAAGTAGGACCCTGCTAGACAGAAAAGCCTTCTGTTTACTCTGTGGCACTTTCTTCCAGGTTCTTAGTGTGTTACTGCAAAGCCTGCCAAACAGCAGGAATTTGCTATTAGATGAATGATAAAATGAACGAATTAATGACCTCTGTTCAATTTCCAGAACACTGAAATAACAGGCCTGGAACCATGAGCCTGTAATTTCAATGCCATTGAGGTGCAGACAGGTGAATCCCTGGGCTCACTACTGGGTAAACTCAAGCCCAGTGGCAGACTATCTTAAAACACAAGGTAGACATTTATAAATAGAAAGAAATCCCACACAGGTTTCACTCACCGAGTCAACTGCATCAGGCGGTTCCACAAAAGCCGAGAACTCCACCAGCTGCAGACGCGCAGTGCCCAGGGCCCGAGCCTGCCAGGCTGGGGGAGATGGGGCGGGTGGAGGCAGGGGAGAGAGGGCTGGGGGCGGCTCATACCCTGGAAAGAGAAGAAAGAATTGCTCACAATGATGGACTGTTTTCTCCTGGCCACCTCCACTTAGAGCTGTGTTGGGGAAGTCCTGTGTATGTCAATAAAGCACTGTTGGCCAATAGCGAACCAAGATAGGTGGGACTAGGAATCCAGAAGGACTCTGGGAAGGAGAAACACAGGAAGTCAAGATGTAACGCCATGGGATAGGAAGCCCGGAAAGTTCTCCGGTAAGAGAAATACTTAGATTATCAATTATGGGGTAATTACTTAAGTCAGAGCTAGCCAGTAAGAAACAAGCAAGGCCAACAGCTTCATAATGAATATAGCCTCCTGTGTGTTTATTTGGGACTGATGCGGCTCTGGAGCCAGGCTGGCGGGAAGGCTTTTCTCAAGGAAAAGCTTCTCTTTACAGAGCTGTGGGCCCTTCTCCTAGTGCAATCTTGGATTAGGAGCACACACCATCCTAGCACTTGGGAGGCGGAGGCAGGAACATGAGTTCAAAGTCATACCCAGCTACAAAGCAAGCTCTACCCTGGGGCTCATGAGACTGTCTCAAAAAAGAAAAATAAGATGGAGAAGGGCACCGGAGAGATGGCTCAGCTGTTAAGAGCCCTGGGTGCTATTTCAAAGACGGGGACTCACAGCAAGAGCGTAGCTCCAGTTCCAGGGGGTCTAGTACACTGTCTTCCGGCCTCCAGGGGCACAGACAGCACACTTACATACATGCAATACACATAAAATAAGCTAAATGTTCCCTCTAGGCTCTCATGCAGCTAAAGGTGGCCATACAGTCCTTGCCAACGGGTTAGAGAGAATCTACCAGAAAAGAATTCAAGAGTCAAATTTTGAGAAGAAAGCTTTTGACCCTGACTAAGTACGGCTTGCAAGGGACATGGTAGACTTGCGGCAGCCATGCTGGCACAATGAGGCAGAGGCCAGGTGAACTCCAGAGGCCTGGTCTGAGCCGACTGAGCTGGCACGGCCACGTCTAGACCTTGCATCAACTAGGATCAAGGTCTTTTCTTTTGTCTCAGCTAATTTAAGTTTTGTACCCAGTTGACAAAAAGGTGAAGGAATTGCTGCCAGAAATTGGGATCAACTGGGATCATTAAGGCCTTTAGTTTTTTTCCACAGTGTTGTGGAATATTTGTTTATCTGCCTAAAGATTATTACATTTGTTTATGAAAGATGTGTTGCATTTGAATTAATTTTAAAAAATTAACCTGGGCTCAAAGGTAGGGTTAGCAACTAGTTTACAGGAAGTAGCGGGAGGAGCTGAATATGAGTTCTTTTAGTTGGGGCCCTGTGGAAGGAGAGGCTTCCTGGATGACAGCTAAGAGGGAAAGTTTAGCCATTTGCTATTCTAACTCTGAGCTCACAGGTTTTTCACCCTAGTTTTTGAATCTTAAGTTTTATTATAATGAAAGAGATTTAGTTAAAATTACCTTTAGGGGCAGCAACAGAGCTATTGTCTGGGGGAAATGAATTTCCCGCCCCAGGCTACCGCCTCAGGAGCCGTGGTTCCAGCAGTTTAAGGCATAGCCACTATAAGGAAGGTAAAACAGCACTAATACTTGTATTGAGACATTTTTAATTGCTGAGAGTGGTGGCTTGCATGAGCTGTAACTCGCAGTGCTGTGTGGGTAGGTTTAGGAGGTATGACCTTGTCAGAAAGCATGTCACTGGGAGTGAGTGGTCTCTGAGGTTTCAAAGCCCTACACCATTCTCTGTGCTCTTGGCTTTAAGCTGTGGTTCAAGATGTGAGCCCATAGGTTGGGCATAGCAGCACACGCCTTTACTCCCAGCACTCGGGAGGCAGAGGCAGGCTCATCTCTGAGAGTTCAAGGCTGACCTGTTCTACAGATCGAGTTCCAGGACAGACAGGTATACACAGAGAAACCCCGTCTCGAAAAAATAAATAAAAATAAAAGATGTGAGCCTTCGGCTCCCTGCTCCTGCCACCACGCCTCCACTCTGCCGTCGTGGATGGATCTGAGCCTCTGGAACCTCTTCTACCAGCCAGTGTGGGTCTTCTGTGGTCATACTGGTGTAGAGTTCTGGGCTTCTGGCAGAGCCCACATGGAAATGCAGCTGCCACAGAGGAAAGCGGACGGAAGCAATCCCTCATGCTGGCACTGAGCTGCTAGACCCAGCCATGCCTGAAGCCACCGCTCTATGCGCGTATTTCTTTCCTCCTCCCCTCCTTTTGTCTCAGCTAACTTAAGTTTTCACCACCTGGTTGCACCAGCTGACTGAAGGGTGAAGGAACAGAGAGAAGGGAGCCGGAGAGCAGGGGAGTGGGCTCTCACCTGGCAGGTCAGTGGACGGGGGAGTCAGGGCCACGGGGAACGGCGTCTGTGAGAATGGCTTCACGCTGCAGGACAAAGGGAACCTCTGAGTACAATGGAATGACGATGCGATGGGTTCAGTGACTCAGTGACTGCTAGCATTTTCCACGTGAAACGGGGGTGGATAACTACTGACCCGCCCATAGCCAAACAGCCAGGGTCCATAAAGCCCGGACGCCAACCCCATGCAGTCCAACCGTGAGGATCAAAACTTTTGTGTTTTGGCAATACTAGAATTGGACCTAGTGCTTCAAATATGCTAGGCATGGGCTCCACAGAGCAACTCCCCCTCACTGGGAGATTCGAAGCAGGGGCTCCATCAGGGCCACATCTCCAGCCCCTTACTGGGGTACTCTAGGCAGGAGCTCAACCATTGAGCAGCACCCCCCAGTTCATGGGTTTTTGCTGCAGGGTGGAACTCAAGATCCTTCTGCCTTAACCTCTGAAGTGCAGGGATGACAGGAACGAACCAATCCCCTGCCCTGTGTGATAGAAATGTTCCACAGTAGCAGCCAATGGCCACAGTCGCTCAGCACTAGTCTGGCTGACACGCCTGAAGAATGCTTTTAAAACAGGGCCTCATTATGTAGCCCGGGCTGTCCTAGAGCTCACAAAGACCCACCTTCCTCTGTCTCTCAAAAGCTGGGGCTACAGGCATGTGCAACAATTCCCAGCTATACATGTAGTCAATTCTAATCTAATAATGGAGCAGACTCAGACTCCAGAGACCTAGATTTAGTGCAGGGGATGATGGTCAGGAGACTGAGAGGCCAGAGGTCAGAAGAGGTCCAAGGTCAACAAACGAGATAAAAAAGACAAACCCCAGGGACCTTCCAGTCAGAGTCCCAGGGCCTCCTCAGCTCTCAAATTTGTACGTCAGCGGATTTCCCAAAATGCCATGATCTCCTGTCACCTAGCCATCACTCAAACGCCAGCTCCTCGGGAGGACCCACCTGGCCTTCTAACACCGACATCGGGGGATGGAGCAGGAGGATCTATTCTGGGCTACAGAGCTGAGAGCCTGTCTCAAATAAATACAAACAAAAGTAGACCCTCGAGGCTAGAGATGGACCCCAGTGTAGAACACTTAACGAGCACGCACAAAGCCCTGGAATGAACCCAATTCCTCAAATACATATTTTTCTTACTTTACACATAACATGTCCAGGAAGATTACAGCTTTCCACCTTGTTCCTTAATAAGGGCATACCCAGGCACTTAGTAGGTGTTCAGTAAAAACCTGGTGTCCCAGCAGCTTAACACAGGCCCCTGTCATAGAAGAGGCTCACCTCAGCTTCCTGCCTGTGAGCCTTGCATGGGTTGTTTGTCTGACTAGAATATTCCCACCCCCACTTTCACCTGGCTAAACCCCAACCTCAGAGAAAACCCCAAAACTTTCTCCCTCACCATAAAACCCGTGGTGGTTCCTCACAACGCTGCACATACTTCCATTTTGTAGCCCTGAAAGTGCTGGTCTCCCCCATTTGACTATGGGCTGCCGGCGCCCAGTCATCCCTCCTCTACGGTGCACCTGCAGTCGCCTCAGCCCCTGGGGACTCGCTCTGATCCTTCCTGTGTCGCCAGTGACTGGATCCCACAACCGACCATCTCATTCTCTGATGATGCACACTCCTGCGTTGCCCTCACACAGCTCTGATCCTTCCTGTGTCACCAGTGACTGGATCCCACAACCAACCATCTCATTCTCTGATGATGCACACTCCCGCGTTGCCCTCACACAGCAATGCTGCACCACCGACATCCGGCCAGGCTAGGGCTCCCTCAGTGCCCAGGGATCTCCGAGCTGAGGAACCCCTGATATTCATGGTCTCCCTCTCAAGTAGGAAAATAAAGTAACCCCTTCCCCACTCTCAAGCCCCAAGAACCACCTCAGAGTCTGGAAACGAGCCTTCACAGGCATTCTAAAGGCACACATAGGCCCTCCCATGATCCTGAGACCCACGCATCCTTCCCAGAAGCCTCTAGGTCTATTATTGTCTTCCCAGGAACCCTTCATCTGTCCTGGAGCCTTAAACACCCCTTCTCATAATACTTAGGATTCCCCCATCTCTCCAAGGAGCCTTACGACTTCCAGCCTCTGGGCCCTTTTCTCTTCCAGGACCATCTGTATCCATGACTGTTTTCCTGCAAGACTTTAGAAGCTTCCTTTGTGTTTTCTAGGAGCCTCTGGGTCTACAACTGCCTTCCCATGATCCTCTGGGTCCCGACCTACATCCCTCCCAGGAGAAATTCACCAAACAACTGCCTTCCTATGATACTGGCCACATGTTCCTCCAGTAGTCTCTGGGCCTCATATCTGCCTTCCCATGAGCTTCTGGGACTGAGGTCCTCATTTAGGAGCCATTTTTTTCCATGTACATGTGCCCCTTTTGAGACATGAGGTAAGGGGGCCCTAAGCACAGATGGGGTCACCCCACGAAGACCTTAGCCAGCAAAGTGCAGGGCTAGACTTCTAAAACAGATGGTATGGCTTCGGGATCTATGTCCAAATGGGTGTTGGTGGGAGGGAAGGGGGAAGTACTCACTCTGGAACATTCCACGGTGGCCCAGAGCTCCCTGACCAGAACTGGAAAAGCTCAGTGGTCTAAAGAGGAGACACAGATGAGGGTCAGACATCCCCTGTTGGCCATTACAGACCCATCCTTCCATCCCAGATCTCCACAGTTCCCAACCCAAGCCACCTGAGGGCCAGAAGGACCCAGCTTGGCCTGGAGGGACGGCGCAGAGATGAGCTGTGCTGAAGACATGGTAGCCATCGTCTGGAATGCTTTGTCCTTGGAGACTTGGTCCTGGGGAAAGGTTGAGGTCCAGGTGAAAGGGGAGTTCCAGCCAAGACAGCCAGTGTGGGACGGTGTCAAGGCCGGGGTAGGAGATGAAGACATGGGAATGTGTGACCCACGGTCAGAGAGGGGCCGGCTCCCCACCTGTCCCTTCAGGCCTCCTCAGTGTGTGAGGTACAGGGGTGGGTGAGGAGCCAAGGGAAGAAAGAAAACCCAGCTTAGGAACTGCAGGCTGTACCTCACCTCCTTTAGCACCGGAACACCAACCTGAGTCAGCACAGGGCAGAGCATGGGGGCCGCAAACGGAACGGGACGCACATTTCCTCAGAGGAAGAAAGGTTCGCAAGACCAGGGTAAGATACTAACGGGTTTTCTAAGTCAAGAAACAGCTAGACAGTGTTTCCGGATGCCCAGGCTACAGGAAATGAGACTTTCGAGACCCCTGGGAACAGGAAGGGGTGTTTGGTATTCCATACAGAACACAGAAGGGACTGAGAAAATACAGAGAGACTGGAACCTGAGGGCTGCAGACCTACAGAAAAGGAAGGGACCGTTTCCAAGGACAGGAAGTAAGCTGGCATCGGCGGTACACGCCTTTAATCCCAGCATTGGGGAGGCAGAGGCAGGCGGGTCTCTGAGTTTGGGACCAGAGTGAGTTCCAGGACAGCCAAGAACAGCTAAAGCTACAAAGAGAAACCTGGTCTCAAAAAAGCCAAACAAAACAGGAAATAATCAAGGCTAAAAGAAAAATCACACACAAAGAAACAGTGATGGGCATTCACGTTGGCGGGCACAGGGAACTCACAGGAGAAAAGAGTAGACGGTACGGTCTCTCACAGGAACGCGTACATGCAGACAATGAGGAATAGAGAAAACAGAGAAATGGGGCCAGCAGGGACAGAGGGAGGGAAGCACTGCAGCACAGTAGAGACACAGCCACCATCTTGGTTACATGAGCCTGTGCTTGATGAGCAGGCCTGCAGGCCAACCCACACCCCTCAGGCTCTCTGGCCTCCTCCGTGTCTCTCTCTGTCTCCCTATTCCCTCGGTGGCTGCATGTGTCTGTCTGTTTCTGTCTCTGTCTACTCCCACCACCTCTCTCTGGGTCTATGTGCTCTTTCTGAGTCTGTGTGTGTGTGTCCTCCCCTGTCTGTCTGTGTGTCCCCATCTCTGTCTGTCTGTCTGTGTGTCCCCATCTCCATCTGTCTGTGTGTCCCCATCTCCGTCTGTGTGTGTGTCCCCATCTCTGTCTGTCTGTCTGTGTGTCCCTATCTCTGTCTGTCTGTGTGTCCCCATCTCCGTCTGTCTGTGTGTCCCCATCTCTGTCTGTGTGTCCCCATCTCTGTCTGTGTGTCCCCATCTGTCTGTGTGTGTGTCCCCATCTCTGTCTGTCTGTGTGTCCCCATCTCTGTCTGTGTGTGTGTCCCCATCTCTGTCTGTCTGTGTGTCCCCATCTCCATCTGTCTGTGTGTCCCCATCTCCGTCTGTCTGTGTGTCCCCATCTCTGTCTGTCTGTGTGTGTGTCCCCATCTCTGTCTGTCTGTGTGTCCCCATCTCTGTCTGTGTGTGTGTCCCCATCTCTGTCTGTCTGTGTGTGTGTCCCCATCTCTGTCTGTCTGTGTGTGTGTCCCCATCTCTGTCTGTGTGTCCCATCTCTGTCTGTGTGCCCCCATCTCTGTCTGTCTGTCTGTCCCCATCTCTGTCTCTGTGTGTATGTTTTGTGTCCCCAGCTCTCTGGTCTCTCTCTCTGTCTCTGGATCTCCCCATGTGTCCCTGTCCCTTTCTCTCTCAAGTCTCTCTCTCTTAGTCTCTGAATCTGTATCCTTCTCTCTCACCCCTCCCTCCCCACCTTTATCCTTACCTTCAGCTTGGACTGAATTTCTCTCGATTTCCTTCGAGCCAAAACCTGGATGTGACTGGAGACCTGGAGGGATGAAAGGCCAATGTGAGAAGTCTTTGTCCCTCCCTCCCTGTGGCTCATATGTTGTTCCTCCACAGGTGACAAAGCCTAAGGCCAAAGGCTGTCTGCAGGAGTGGAAGTCCAGCCTCCAAGGCTGATCCTCCAGGTCCAGGCCCCTCCTGTCCTTGGGTTTTCAGGGTCTCTCTGAGCCCCTTTTGTAATAACCCTGCTACAGAAATGTCAGCTCTGACAAGATGGCTCAGCAGGTAAAGGCACTTGGCACCAAGTCTAATGTCCAAAGTTCCATCCCTGAGACCTACACGGTAGGAGAGAATCAATTCCTGAATGCTGTCTTCTGATTTCTTTTGATTTCTACAGCACAAGGCCACACACACACACACACTCTCTCTCTCTCTCTCTAAATGTATTTAAATTTGTTTGTGTTACATTTTATGTATGAGGGTTCAGGTGCATCATGATGCATATGCAGAGGACAGAGGAAAAGGTGTAGGAGTCGGTTCTCCTATCATGTGGGTCCCAGGACTAAGCTCAGGTCAGGCTTAGCAGCAAGTCACTTCACCAACTGAATCATTTCACAGGCGCACGATATAAACATTTTACAGAAATATCTGGCAAGCCTACAACATAGGGAAAACCACATGAAACAGAAGCGAGGGTTCAGAGTAAAGCTTGCCCTTCAGGCACTGAGACGTGAGTTCAGTCCACATAAACTTATAACCCTGGCGCTAGGAGTGCAGACAGGCGCAGGCTGGCACTTGCTGGTCACTCAGCCTGGTCAAATCAGCAAGCACGGGAGCAGTGAGAGACCCAGTCTCAGAGCAGTAGACAGCGACTGAGGAAACCTGAGGTCATGCACTGGCCACCACATGCTCATGCACACACATACAAGCTTCATGCACACACACATACAAGCTTCATGCACACACACACATACAAGCTTCATGCACACACACGCACGGATCCCCACACACATACAAGCTTCATGCACACACACACATACAAGCTTCATGCACACACACACACACGGATCCACACACACATACAAGCTTCATGCACACACACGCACACGCATGGATCCCCACACACATACAAGCTTCATGCACACACACGCACACGCATGGATCCCCACACACATACAAGCATCATGCACACACACGCACGGATCCCCACACACATACAAGCTTCATGCACACACACGCACGGATCCCCACACACATACAAGCTTCATGCACACACACACGCACGGATCCCCACACACATACAAGCTTCATGCACACACACGCACGGATCCCCACACACATACAAGCTTCATGCACACACACACATACAAGCTTCATGCACACACACGCACGGATCCCCACACACATACAAGCTTCATGCACACACACACACACACATGGATCCACACACACATACAAGCTTCATGCACACACACGCACACGCACGGATCCCCACACACATACAAGCTTCATGCACACACACGCACGGATCCACACACACATACAAGCTTCATGCACACACACGCACGGATCCCCACACACATACAAGCTTCATGCACACACACACACACACACACATGGATCCACACACACATACAAGCTTCATGCACACACACGCACAGATCCACACACACATACAAGCTTCATGCACACACACGCACGGATCCCCACACACATACAAGCTTCATGCACACACACGCACAGATCCACACACACATACAAGCTTCATGCACACACACGCACACGCACGGATCCCCACACACATACAAGCTTCATGCACACACACGGATCCCCACACACATACAAGCTTCATGCACACACACACACACACATGGATCCACACACACATACAAGCTTCATGCACACACACGCACAGATCCACACACACATACAAGCTTCATGCACACACACGCACGGATCCCCACACACATACAAGCTTCATGCACACACACGCACGGATCCCCACACACATACAAGCTTCATGCACACACACGGATCCCCACACACATACAAGCTTCATGCACACACACACACGCACGGATCCCCACACACATACAAGCTTCATGCACACACACGCACACACATGGATCCACACACACATACAAGCTTCATGCACACACACGCACACGCACGGATCCCCACACACATACAAGCTTCATGCACACACACGCACACACATGGATCCACACACACATACAAGCTTCATGCACACACACGCACACGCATGGATCCCCACACACATACAAGCTTCATGCACACACACGCACACGCATGGATCCCCACACACATACAAGCTTCATGCACACACACGCACGGATCCCCACACACATACAAGCTTCATGCACACACACGCACGGATCCCCACACACATACAAGCTTCATGCACACACACACGCACGGATCCCCACACACATACAAGCTTCATGCACACACACACATACAAGCTTCATGCACACACACGCACGGATCCCCACACACATACAAGCTTCATGCACACACACACACACACACATGGATCCACACACACATACAAGCTTCATGCACACACACGCACACGCACGGATCCCCACACACATACAAGCTTCATGCACACACACGCACGGATCCACACACACATACAAGCTTCATGCACACACACGCACGGATCCCCACACACATACAAGCTTCATGCACACACACACACACACACACACATGGATCCACACACACATACAAGCTTCATGCACACACACGCACAGATCCACACACACATACAAGCTTCATGCACACACACGCACGGATCCCCACACACATACAAGCTTCATGCACACACACGCACAGATCCACACACACATACAAGCTTCATGCACACACACGCACACGCACGGATCCCCACACACATACAAGCTTCATGCACACACACGGATCCCCACACACATACAAGCTTCATGCACACACACACACACACATGGATCCACACACACATACAAGCTTCATGCACACACACGCACAGATCCACACACACATACAAGCTTCATGCACACACACGCACACGCATGGATCCCCACACACATACAAGCTTCATGCACACACACGCACGGATCCCCACACACATACAAGCTTCATGCACACACACGGATCCCCACACACATACAAGCTTCATGCACACACACACACGCACGGATCCCCACACACATACAAGCTTCATGCACACACACGCACACACATGGATCCACACACACATACAAGCTTCATGCACACACACGCACACGCACGGATCCCCACACACATACAAGCTTCATGCACACACACGCACACACATGGATCCACACACACATACAAGCTTCATGCACACACACGCACGGATCCCCACACACATACAAGCTTCATGCACACACACGCACACACATGGATCCACACACACATACAAGCTTCATGCACACACACGCACGGATCCCCACACACATACAAACAAGCTTCATGCACACACACACACACACACATGGATCCACACACACATACAAGCTTCATGCACACACACGCACGGATCCCCACACACATACAAGCTTCATGCACACACACGCACGGATCCCCACACACATACAAGCTTCATGCACACACACGCACGGATCCCCACACACATACAAGCTTCATGCACACACACGCACACGCATGGATCCCCACACACATACAAGCTTCATGCACACACACGCACACGCATGGATCCCCACACACATACAAGCTTCATGCACACACACGCACGGATCCCCACACACATACAAGCTTCATGCACACACACGCACGGATCCCCACACACATACAAGCTTCATGCACACACACGCACGGATCCCCACACACATACAAGCTTCATGCACACACACGCACAGATCCACACACACATACAAGCTTCATGCGCGCACACACACACACACACACACACACGGATACACACACATACAAGCTTCATGCACACACACACATGGATCCACACACACATACAAGCTTCATGCACACACACGCACACGCATGGATCCCCACACACATACAAGCTTCATGCACACACACGCACACGCACGGATCCCCACACACATACAAGCTTCATGCACACACACGCACGGATCCCCACACACATACAAGCTTCATGCACACACACGCACGGATCCCCACACACATACAAGCTTCATGCACACACACGCACGGATCCCCACACACATACAAGCTTCATGCACACACACGCACAGATCCACACACACATACAAGCTTCATGCGCACACACACACACACACACACGGATACACACACATACAAGCTTCATGCACACACGCACGCGCACGCACATGCACACACACACGCACGCATGGATCCCCACACACATACAAGCTTTTCATTTCTTTTGTAATCACATGAACCACATCTGCCTTGAACCTGAACGAGCACATGAAGATGGCCCTCAGGAAGTGCCCAGCCCCAAACCAAAGGCCCGAAGTGCCAGTCTTGAGACCTGCTTGCGAGTTCTAGTCTTCCCTGTCCTCAGCTTGATGTAACGGGCAATGAGTTCATTCCGGCCTGGAGGAGTCAAAACAGAAAAGATCAAAGCATCAGCAGAACTTCAAGCTGGAGAAGACAGGGGTGAAGGATGACATCAGCAATGCAATCCTCATTCAACTACAGCCCAGCCAGGCTGAGGAATCCCTCCGCCACAGATCAATCACCAGCTCAGTGACACCAACTATGACGCCTCCAACAAATCACTTTTTTTTCTTGAGACAGGTCTCTCTCTACGTCACCCTGCCTGTTCTGGAACTCACTGTGTAGATCAGGCCGGCTTCAAACTGGCAGAGATCTGTTTGCCTGCCTCTGTCTCCAGAGTACTAGGATTAAAGGCGTGTGCCACCACAACCAACCTCATTTTTGCTATTTCCAGACAGGGTCTTATATAGATGGGACTAATGTATAGCTCAGTCGGTGGTCTAGGATGACCCTGAACTCTTGAGGTGTGTCCCACCACAGCTGGCCAGACTCTGGACACATTAGATAGTGTGATTTTTCTCACTCGGGTCAGGGCGCCACAGGGGACTCACCGTACATCTTGCCCTCATCTGACAGGATGATCTTTCGGCGGCCACAGGGAGGGTATATGGCCAGGGCCTCTTGAAAGCTCTGCTCGATGTCGGGGCTCCACACACCCTCTGCATCAGGGCCCCCGTCACCTCCAACGCCCTCACTGCCTCCAGTGCCCTCCTCGCTGCCTTCCTCGCTGCCCGTCCAGCCCCCGCCATCATCCAGGGGGGCCCCAGTCCGGGGTTCCCCCATCTGGGCCTGCAGAGGCAAAGATCAGCAGCTTTATACGGTGTTGCAAGAACAAGGCAGGAGGCCTGGCTGGGGGAGAAAGCCAGGCCTGAACTTGTGGGTTGAAGCCCTGACCCCTGGGCCTGAGGGAGGAGAGAAACCTAAGCCTGGGATCTGGGAGGCCGTCCTTCCCCTGAGTTTTCAGAGGTAGCTGCCTTGGGTTGAAGTCACCTGACCTCCTCACAGAGGTGCCCGAGGCCATGTGGACGAAAACTGTGTTTGGATCACCCATCCAACTAACCAGAGTCTGGTTAGTTGCCAGGAGTGGGAACTCCAGCCGCACTAAGAAGGAACAGGTGCTAAAAAAGGGCAGCAGCTGCTGGAAAAGGAGAGGCTGCGTTCAAGACCCAGGGAGAGAGGAAAGAGAGATCCAGGAAGGTAGGGCAGAGAGATGCAGGGACAGGGACCCAGACGGGCACAGAGGAAGGGGGAATAATCATGGCTTCATGGCTGAGACCTGAAAGCGACCACAGTACCAGGACAGCCATGCAGCCCCAGGCCTAGGGACACAGTAGCCCAGCCATCTGGAGGCCAGAACAAAGAGCCCAGGCATCCCCTCCCCCAGCTCCCCGCAACCCTTACCGGGGGCGGGGCAGAGTGAGAGCAGCCTCCACGGCCCCGCCCCCTCCCCCTGGGCTCGGCTCCAACCCAAGTTCCCGTCGACTTTCCGGAGGCCAGGAACAGGGAAAACTTTTCCCATACTGTCCGATACCGCCTCCCTGGAGGTTCCATGTCTTCCAGAACTTTCCCGGGCGCCCAAAGTTCTGAGTCCCATCCCCTCCTCTGGACTCTCGTGGTGGAGTTCAAGCGAACAAAGACCCCCCCAGACCCAGCCCAGTGTGGCGGCGACGTTCAGGGCCCCCGTAGGCTGAAATCCCCACCCAGCCCATGTGGCCAGACAAAGAGACAGGCGAGCCGGGCAAGGCAGACACCCCCAATGTCCTGCCGCGGTCCCCAAGCCTCAGAGATGCACGGTGGAAGTCCAGGGGGGCTCGCGGCTCTCCCCCGGCCGCCCCCGCGCCCGCGCTGCTCCACGGAGGGCCACACGCTCTCAGGGCGGACACTTGCAGAAGGGGTGGCCCGGGAGGCGTGCACCTCGCGCCAACCGGAGAGCCGCGGCTCTCCGCCTCCTCCACGTCCCGCGTCCGCAGCCCGCGGCCACCCGCGCGCTCCCGCTGCCGCAGACCGTCCCCGGGCCGCCGCTAACTCCGAGAAAGTTCCAGCCCTGCACTACCGCCTATCCCAGCGCAAACTCGGGCCCCAAGGCACCCGGAGGGCGCAGGGCAATTCCCACGCGGTCCCAGGAACACGCACCTCACCTCATCGCGCGGAACTTCCCACCCCAACTCACACACCCCAAGCAGGATCCCGATTCCCGCCGGCGCCTTCCTACCTCCCGGCCTGGGCAGGGGAGCCGCGGGCGGGCGGGGCAAGACCGGGAGAAAGTTGCCGGGAGCTTTGTTTGGGAAAAGTGGGAGGGACCGCAGGGGGGGGCGGGCCCGGCTGCAAGCTCGGGATCCCAGGGTGACACTCGGGGCAAGGTGTTTGCTTTGGGAGAGATGAGTCCGTCTAAGGACAGGGTGCGGATGCTGGGTCCCTCGGAGAGGAGGTAGCTATGGGGGTCTGGGTTCCTGGCTGTGAGGGAGGAGGCTGGGGTCTGTAACTCTGGGTCTGAAAGCGGGATACTGGGATCCGGACCCTCGGTCTGAGGAAGGAGGGCTGGGACCTTCCTGGGTTTGAGGGAGAAGTTACTGGGAGTTGAGGGAAGAGAGAAGGCTCCTGGTTCCGATGGAGGAGGAGGAGGCCACCCTGTAATGTGTGTGTTTGCTGAGGATGTGGAATTGACAAGAAAACAAAATAATCTTTACCAGTTTCATATGTGTTTTTATTCTTATTCTATGTTTTTAGATTTTTACATTTTATTTTAGCTGTTTGAGTGTTTTCCTGCATGTGCGCCAGAGGCCAGAAGAGGACACTGGATCCCCTGGAACCGGAGTTACAGATGGTTGTGGCCCACTGCG